AAAATTATAAAACAGAAGAATCGATAATATTGTGTCTACTCTAGCCTGTCTAAACTGTCTATAAATCTCATAAAGCAATTCTAAAAAGTGTTGCCGATATGGACAACGATAACAATACGTACATTCATCACAAAATGAAGCCCGACAACACGGAGTAATAACAGCTTCTTTCAGAAGTCGAGAGCATAGCATGCATTGAAGTTCGGCCGGAATCGGTAGTGTATCTTCTAGAACTTCATTAGATGTTACATATGATTTCTGACGAGCGTGGAACTTTTGCCAAGCAGCCCTAGAATTAATAGTAACGTTAATATGATACTGTATAATACATTTTTATTATTGCTGACGTTGATTTATAATGAAACATTAATGCTTACTCATTTGCTTGTGCAATAACTAGGTTTCCATCTTGTGTGACAAGAACACCTTTCCCTGGCGGCACTTGTTCTACTTTTTGTAAAAAACTTCTCGGTATACCAGTTGTTTTTCTGACCTTCATATGATCAAAGGATCTGTCACCATTCGTCGGGCATGCTTGAATCCAGTGGCCTATAAATGTTCAGATCATCAATTCAATGCCGCACGCACGTAAATATGTATATTTATGTGAAAATAAATACCTTTCTGTCCACATCTATAACATACATAATTTGGCGGCAAAGTTTTTTGAACCGGTGGCTTGACTGATGGACGAACTTGATTAGGTCTTCGAAGCGCCGGTTTTCTAAAATATATATATATATATATAATTTAAGATACCATTTATTATCATTGTAAATTTATTACAATGGCATTAAACAAAACTTACGAAGCCATCTGCTCTTGAGTTATTTCCCAAAACTCCTTTGATTGTGCAAACATTGCTTGAATTTTATCATCTTCTGTTTGATGCTCATCTGTTTGCTGTGTAGCAGGAGTTGGAGTTAAACGAGACACCTGTTGGGGTTGCTTCGATGGGTCAAATGTTTTTGACATAGATCTACGTGTTTAAATACTATGAGAATCAAAAATAATTTTAAATCGGGTAGTAATTAACAAATAAATGTTTACCCATTAGCGGATACTATACTCCCTCTGTTATTAGCTACATAATTACGTTGCGTTGTAGGCCCACCACCTTCCAAATAACGATGTGCGGTCCCTTTCCCAGGTTTAGTTGGGACGCGCTTTACTACAATTGGGGTATTTCTTGGTATAGTCGCAGTATCTTCTTGATAATCTACAAATGATTGATTTTCAATTAAATGGTCCGGTTGTTTTAAAAATACAACAAAGCGCATTGCCACGTTTTTATAGCAGCAGAAAATTAGGGTAAAAGCTAGATCTTACCTTCACCTGATTCAGCGTGAGACACTATAATATCAAAGTCATTTCCTTTTAATTTTTTTGCGGTCAGGATTTCTTTTTTGGCGTCAAATACAGAGATTCCCAGCCCATCGAAAGTAAGTGTATCATAATCTTTAGCACTTTTGAACTTGTAATAAATTTGAGATATAATTTGAGACATTTAAGCGAAATGTTTAACGTTAGTATAGTTATTTGAATAATTGAATATCTACACTATTATATCGGATCAAATAGTATGTAATATCACATGATTCCGTATATCTACGTAGGCCACGGAGTTTTGGAATTCTTTTTTTGGAAATGAAAATGGTGCGTTTCATTGGGGATTACTCTTAATTTATAGATAGTTGTACAGCCTACCCCGACATGTATCATCATCGTTATTATTAATACGTATTCTATCGGATACTGTTAACGTCGTATCATTGTTAATACCAACACCAACACCCCGTTACTATGTACACGATTTATCACATCCGAAGCTTTGATTTCATAAATCACAAATTAACGAATTTACATTTTAAAATTTTTATTCTTTGCCAAAATACACGTTTCCGTGGCTTTTACGAAAAAAATTAGTGCGACACTTTGTAGATCATTGAAATCTTTTCTTTTTCATGTTTTTATGTAGGGGTTATATCCAAAATATACCAATTAGGGGAGGGACTATATCACCCACCCCACCTGAGTCAAATTAATTGATCGTTATTCACTCCACAATTGATTGTGGCGAAGATAAGTGCTTTTATTACATCGAAAACTCTTTGAGATTGATTATTTTAAGGATTGGTCTGAACTCATTCTTAGTGGCGCAGAAAAATACTTCTATTTATTACCTTTGTGAATGAGTCCTGACCAATCTCTAAAATAATCTAATCTCAAAGGATTTTTTTGTATAATAGAAGCACTTGTCTTTGCAATCAAATAGGTTGCAGAATTTGCAAATCGCATGAACTCCATGTAACAGCAGTGATGTGTTTTTTTTATTGTCGTCTGGAAACTTTTTGAAATGAGAGTTCAATGGGCTTTATTTTTTAACGCGATTTTTGATAGACATAGTTTACCTATTATTTATGCATCTGATACGTACGTATTATAAAATCTCATACTGGCGTATGATATTTATGATTTTGCTTACACAGTGGACATAATCATTGTCGCGGCTGAAGTTGAGGCTGGAGATTAGGGACCTCGATTTAAAATATAAACCTTACCAAAATCCACTTATGCATTTTTATTATAAAACTAATAACAATCCTAAGCTAACTATACAAAAAAAAAAAAATGCACCCCGAAAATGTAAAATTTCCAGCTTCAATCGTTACAGCACATTCGAGGAATTAAGCTAAAGTTCGGTCACCAAATCCAAGTATTGGTCCCTAATTTTTAAATTTTAGTTACCAAATTATTAATCAAACCCGAAAAATTTTTTCGGACCTGTGATTCATATTGATAACTCATCTTCTTTATATCTAACACACCTTGACGCATTCGTTAGACATACACAAGCGAAATGATATCTAATAGGATACCAACAGACATCCCTATTGCTGTCAGATTTTGACGCAAAGGAGGTCAACAGGGTGTCAATAGGCATCAATCAGAATAACATTATTCTGATTAATGCCTATTAATACCCTGTTGACCTTCTTTTGCGCCAAAATCTGACAGCAATAGGGATGTCTATTGGTACCCTATTAGATATCATTTTACCTGTGATAGAAAACACACCCTAGCCTGGGAATATGGATAATTATTGTGGGGGATTATGCTGAAAATTTGGGGTCTCTTTTTAAATCTACGTATAATACCTACTAAAATCCATATATACTCTTTTATTAATACAGTAATACTACCCCCTAACCCTAACCTAACTATAAAAAAAAACGGCCCTAAAAATTTTTACAATTTTATAATAAAATACGGCATAATCCAATTTCAGCATAATCCACCACAATTATTTTTGAATCCAGACTTATTACGCCATATATAAAATTGTAGTAGGCCAAAAAAATTTTACCATTGCGTGTAACCCGAGCTTCCGGAATTTGATCCGACGATTCAGATTCGGACCTCGGATCGGACCTGCGAAGCATTAATACAAGCCAGGGACCCGTAAAATTTTAGTTTTAAAAACTCAATTTTTTCTGATAACAACAAAAAATTTAGGCAAAATTTAGTTTAAATTTAATAAATTTTAGATAAATTTTGATTTAAATTTAATAAATTTTGATTTAATTTAATAAATTTTGATTTAAATTTGAAAAAATTTATAGGTTCATTCTTTTTTTTTTGTTAAAATACAACATTGTAAGAATTTTCAATAAATCAGTATTTAAGTTTTGCTGATTGTTTTTGAAGAACATTATTATAAGAACGCAAGTTTGTAATTTAATTTATTGCAATCCTGACCAAATATAAAAATAATTAGGAATTAAATCGCACTAAGTCACATAAATTTACATCTCTAGATCACCAATACAAACTAGTCATGTACTATATATATTTCTTAGAAGTTAAATAAGTTTGTATAAAATTTTTATTATTAAAAATAAAATATGTATCACTAGAGATAGGCAAATCGAAGATTTTTTGAATCTACTGCGCAGGCTGTGCAGCCCGCACAGGTCCACATTATGGTAGCTTTATGCTAATACAGGTCAAAATTGTAAAATTCTGAAATATTCCGAAATTCAAAATATTCCACCTGCGCAGTATCCCATCCCTACGTATCACAAACTATAATGTAATATGAAAATGTTTAGATTTGATAATTTTAGATATAAATTCTCAAGAATTTCGAAATTTTAGAAAATTTGAGTTGATACTTAAAATTTTAGATTTTTTGTGAAAATTTTATATCTAAAATTTTACGATCCGAACAATTTTACTTAGTACATCGGTTAGCGGGTTTTATTGGTAAAATTCGCCCAAATTTGGCGATAATTAATTAAGTCCGGAAGCTCGGGTTACGCGAAATGGTAAAATTATTAACCTACTATTACCCACATTGATTACGTAGCATAGTTAAAAAATCCGTATGATGTATTAATAGTCAAAATTTTTCAATATAGTAAAATAAAAATGAGCATTCGTTAGTTGGTTATCCAGATCACACCACGCGGAGGTCAATGCTCAAATGACCCATGTATCACATTTTGGTGAATTTGAAATTAAGGAATTTAAAAACGGGTATATATTAAGAAAAAACGAAATTCATTAACCTAAAGATCATCTTGTTAGTAAGTAGAAATAAATATTCTACTTAGCTTTTTGAGGGCTAATTGGAGAATATAAAGAAGGACTTGATTTTTGCCTGATAAGAACACGAAACCTCCACCTGAATCGTCTTAGGTGTGAACGAATCAAATCGTAGGAGCTACTACGATGCCTACATAGTTCTTCCATTGTCACGTTCATATCAATGAACAACTTCACAAAGTTTGTAGACTACAGGATGATCTAAATGTTTGTAATTGTATTTATGAATAAATGTCTAAACCAATAATATATATCTATAGATGAAGGTTTTGCCCAATTCTTACATTGGAACAATATTATAAGATCTTGGATTTAAACGGTTAATGCTTTCAATGTTAAAGTGTATTCTATTTACCATCAATCCCCGCAGGACAAACCATCTTGGGAGCATCGAAAAACTGATATAAGAACGTTCTGCGATCAATTCAGGTCATGAAGTACTTTCAATTCTCAGACATTTTTATACCGATGTGGCTATAACTCGACAAATACTCAACTCACACTGTATACTTGCAATTCAGGCTTGCATTTCTGAGGAATGTAAAAATATTCCATTCTGACATTTTTCCTATTATGTTGGACGAGTATTTAACGACGACGAAAATTGTAATGCTTGTTATAGCGCCTTTTAGCTGGGTTAGTCATGCTTGCGGATAAAGAATAATGATTTTGTGTTGATTAAATTCGATTACCGCAATCACGTATCGGTATCTCGTTTTTTAATATAGCACATAGATCGATAGCAAAATACCCGTTTATTCGGATAATTATCGGATATTAGTATCCGTTATCCAAAATATCCGATCTGAATTTATCTGGATATTCATTTCAAGGACCCGTAAAATTTTAGATATAAAATTTTCACAAAAAATCTAAAATTTCAAGTCTCAACTCAAATTTTCTAAAATTTTAAATTCTAGAAAATTTATATCTAAAATTATCAAATTTAACTAAAATTTTCTAAAAATTTCTACATATTTTGTTTTCGCCGGCGGTGACAGTCATCGGGTTGCAACTGGCCAATCATATCATGGGATCAGGGTAACCCGAAAAACGAAGAAAAAATTGAAATTCGAAAAAACTCAAAACTTCACCACCTTTCATATTCTAATTAAAAAAATTCTTCGCCAAATTTTACTACATGTGATGCATTGCTCTAACACTAACCAACTCTAACCCTGACTCTAACGATAATTAACCTTTCGTGGTTGGTCAGTTGCGACATCACTGCGGCGACGACTAGTTTATTTCTTTGTTTTTAATAAAAACATTTTATACAACTTAACTTGTTTAACTCCTAAGACATACATTACACAACTATTTTGTATTGGATATTGATATCATGATATAGAGACATAAATTTATGTGACTTAGTGCGATTTGATTCCTAATTATTTTTATATTTGGAGAGTATTGCGATAAATCAAATTACAAACTTGTGTTCTTACAATAGCATTCTTCAAAAAATTAAGTACTGAATCATTAAAGACGCTTACAATATTGTATTTTAACTAGTGATTTGATCCGTCTAAAAAAACCTTCACCCCAGGTGTACATCGGGTCAACTTACAGCTATTATCATAATTTCTGGGACACCTGCTCATTATCCGAAAATCTTTTTGGTCGTTCGGTAAATTACCTAACTTTCCGGAAACTACATTGCTATCTTCGGACCTTTAGTCCGGAGGCAGTGATGTAATTTCCGGAAAGTTAGGTTAATTACCCGTATAGATAGATATGCAATATACGTACGTAATAAATTGATATTTATTACTAATAAACCCAAACTCAAATTGATCAAAAAAATTCA